CCCGCGCCGCCCAGGGGGCGCCCGCCGGACTCGCAGCACGTCGTGAGGGAGTTGGTGGCCATGAGGAACTGCGGGCGACACGGCGCTCAGCTCAGCGGGGGCGCGGGGACCCCGCCACCACCGCCATCGCGCCATCGCGCCTTGCTCTTAGAAACTAACTTTTTTTTTTTTTTTTTTCCCGCGTATGCTCTGACGAGGTTGGATCGACACTGTTTTCCTCCCCTTGCAGCACAATGCTTCCCATCTGCGTTTTTAATCTTTTTTTTTTCTAAATCACTCATGCATATTTATTTTGACTGCGGGTTTGTAACAGCCATACGTGCATCTGTTATTAACCTCCCGTTTAAATACAGCCCATTGTGCTTCTGCAGTTAAGACCTTAGCACTTTCCTGTTTAATTGGGTAAACAGTAAGTTTAATCGGAAAAGAGAAAAGACTGCTCGGAGGGAGAGAGCTGGTGGGGGCTGGGGAATCCCTTACTTCCCTTCTCACCTTCCTCGCCGCTGTCGTCCTCTCCCACCCATCATTATCACCCAAAACCCCCTAAATCCCGAGCGTTCCTTCCCGTTTAAAAAGACGTGCACGAGATATAACTTAAGCACCTTACAGACATGCTGAGTGAGGACCGATTTCACGCTTTCACATGCTAGAAAGGGTCGCTACAGCTTTTAGCGCTGAACGGAAGTGATCAATAATGACTGAAAATCAATCAATGAACGTTTGTAGACAAAAAGTCTTACCTGGGGTGCAGAGGAGTAAGGGTAGCCAAACTGAGGATATGACATGGTACAGAGGCTCCCAGTTATCTAGAAACAAGGCGAGACGTCTGATCGGCACGCTATTGCAGTCTTGCTCTGCTCTATTGTACCAATTGATTGGTAACCACAGGTCCCTAGATGCTTATAGGACGAAGCAGAAAATCACATTTTTTTTTTACATGAATTCCTAAACTTTTTTTTTTTTTTAAACCAGGGAGGGGAAAAAGATATAGCACAGATATAGTGATTTTAGCACATTCCCCTCTACAGCTAGGAAACAGAAAGAATTGTTACATGTGGGCTCTGAGGCTGGCAAATATAATGGCAGAAATACATATTTTGCACCCCGAAAAAAAAAGGAAGGGGGGGAGGGCAGGGGTAGTTCAAATACATCAAGTCAGAAGCACGTTGTTTTAAAAGAGTGGAGTCTCTGACGTCATGTAAACCCATCCAAATTAACCTGCCTCTAAGGTTAACGTGATCCTTTTCGTGATCCTTTGCCTTGCGCAGAAAATAGAGACTACAGCATCTCTCTCTAACAGGAGCGAAAGTTTGAAAGCTCTCCGACGCCGGCTACGCCTGTTTGCAACAAACATTTCTGTGGAGAAGGGAAGGAATGATTCTAAACTGAAAAAAAAAGCAGTGTTATATCAGCTAAAATCCGCCCCACCCCTCCTCCTCACACACACACACACACTGAGAGGCTGGTAAGCACTTTTAATTAGAAATTAATTAATGAGCAGCTGCTTCTTCCCACCCCACAGTAATAATTAGTCTCAATTACAAACAAGACATATGAAGGGACACGCGACTGAGTCTTCATTTAAGATTTAATCAACAGTTAAAATCAGCACTAATACTGACAATAAAGCACATGACGTGCCATCCTGCTTTTCTTTCCAGCTCCTATTCCAGACGTGTGATTACAGGTAGAAAACCCCTACCAGCACGTTTTGCGGAATGCGTGAAGGACGTGACTTTTCACGCTACAGCCGCTTGGGTCCCACGGCGAAGCTCCGCTGGAAAAGCCGCCCTTGCCCAGCGCGGAGGGCC